CCTATCCTTGCATCTATTAAAGAAGTTGATGGAATTGTTCCATTCCCCATGTCTACTGTAGTGTATAATCACTTAATCTGTGTTTGAGTACTGCCCATTTGTGAAAATGGCACAGGCTTCAGCATCAGTTCTGCCCCTCCCTTCTTGGTGTAAGTGCTATGGAACTTGATTTTCCAAAATTGGCTGATAGGAACAGATGGGGTTTTGTTATAATAGCATCACTAGATATTTTTTTTTAAGCTTCTGGTTTATGTACAAAAAAAATTACATAGTAATGTTAGCAAAAAGTTACTGTGAATCATCTATCGTTTGATAGTTTGGGATTGGGCTGCTCTTTAGTTAGAAACCAAGCAACTCACTTGTGGGTTGTTCTCATTCTCATACTTTACCTTTGTAGTTCTGTTTTGGTTCTGAGGCCTTTACGCCTCAGGGAGGCACCTAAGTATTAATTCTAACTTAATTTTTTTTTTCCTTGTGGTGCTGGGACTTAAACCCAAGGCTTTGATCACCCTCAGCAAGTACTCTAGCACTGAGCTACATCCTAAGCTCTTAAATAGGATTCTAGAACTCATGCCCTTATTTTGTTTAAAAGGAGGGGATGGGGAGGTTTGAGAAAGGAAAGTGGGGAAGGAAAACTGAAGAGATTTAGCAAGAATGCAGAAGGAAGTTGAAGATCTGGAAGTCATTCCCGCATTTGGGCCTATTCATGACTTGTGCCTCTTGGAAGGTCTTGGGGTTAACCCAAGGAAGTACATGTCCCATTTTTCAAAACACTTTCTAGATGGCTCACTTTTTAAAATTTCAGTAATTAAACTTGGAGAGGAAGTTACCAAGAACACCATGACATGGCTATTGTGCTCTTGAACTCTGAGTAGCTTTGGTTTACTTGGACAAGACTGGGCCTTTCAATATTCCCTCTTGGAGTTGGGGGGGCGCTCACAAGCTCCCACCCCACCTTGAACATGTATAGGCAGTTAACAGTTCCTACGGAGGAAGATCTCATAGGCCACACCCCTCCCTGAGGATCTATAGGCAAATAATGGTTGCTGAGGGAGAAAGAGACATTTTCTTCAGTGGGGTAGACACTGGTAAGCTGCCCATGCTTCTGTAGATAACCCCTCACCCATGCTTCTGTGAGCAACTCTAATTAAGCACATTGAACCACTTAAAGGAAACAAACCATGAAAGTAGAGGAAAACTATTTGGGAAGAAGGAGAGCTTCTGGAAAGTGAGGAGGATGAGAGAGGGTAATAGGAGGCGAATATGATCAAAATGCATTATATGCATGTATTTTTATACATGTATGAAAATGTCAGAATGAAACCCCTTATAGATAATTACAATTTGCTAGTAGAAAACTTGAGAAACTGGCTTCTGAAGAAGACTTTGAAACTTGGGAGGAAAACATAATACTGTAGAAATTCATGAAACTTTCCCCTTTGTGACCTGCAAAGACCCTCATGTAAACCCTCATGTGGTGGAACAGGTGTGAGGACACAGAAAGAGAAAAGGTTTTCTTCATTTTCTGCAATGCTGGAAGTTGAACCTGGAACTTCATGCATGTACATTCCCACAGAGCTTATACATGTACACTCTCACAGAATTTACACATGCATGCTCCCACAGAGCATATTCATGTACACTCCCTCAGAGCTATATCCCAGCCCTCCTGTTACTTTCATTTTGAGACCGTCTCACTCTAGCCCAGGCAGTCCCTGAATTTGTGATCCTCATGTAGAAAGGGCTAATTTTCACCCTGTGGAGTCTGTGCTCACTTCATTCGCAGACTCAGAGCTTTTTGAACACTTTCTTTAGGGAAAAGGTGTTCCCTGGAGCAGCAAAATCAGGGATTACTCAGGAGCTCAGGTGGGCCAGGCCCTGCAGCACTGCTGCTTCACTTCTGCATCTGTTTTGAAAATAGGATTTGGGAGTTGGAGCGTTGGCTCAGCAGTTAAGAGCACTGGCTGCTCTTGCAGAGGACCTAGGTTCGATTCCCAGCAACCACGTGGCAGCTAACAACTGTCCTAACTCCAGTTCCAGGGGATCCTTCACCCTCTTCTGACTCTGTGGGCATTGCAGGACATGTGTGCACTTGCATACATGCAGGCAAACACTCATACACATAAAACAAAAATAATAATAAAATACTTTTAAAAATAAAAATAGGATTTGGATCCCTTGGTCAGGTTCCCCAAACTCTTCAAGGGGACTGTGTTAACTGTCAGAGCTTAGCTTTGGCAGCCCCTGCTAGAAGTTGCTCCAAGGCTGTGAAACAAAGCAGCAAGCAGCCTGTTTGAGGTGGAAGTTAGGTACACATTTAGTGTTTGCTGTGGCTTGCTCAGCACCATGTTTTCCAAAATGCCTTGTTTCCTTTAAAGTTATTTTAGTTTGACCATAGAATAATTTTAAAATTATTGTTTATTTTGAGCTGGGTATGGTGGCACATGCCTTTAATCCCTGCACTGGAGAGCAGAGGCAGGCAGATCTCTTGCGAGTTTGAGGCCAGCCTGGTCTACATAGTGAATTCCAGGCCAGCTGGGGTTACAGGGAGACCATGTCTCAAAAAAGACAAAAATAAATAAAAATAATTAGAAAAAAATTATTCTTGGGAGGCAGAGGCAGGTAGATCTCTGTGAGTTCAAGGCCAGGCTGGTCTACAGTTCCAGGTCAGATAGCTTGGGATTATAGGGAGACCCTGTCTCAAAAACACCAAAATCAACCAACCAACCAACCAATCAATCAATCAATCAATCAATAATAAAAAGCTATTGTTGCTGGGCATGGTGACGCATGCCTTTAATCCCAACACTCGGGAGGCAGAGGCAGGCGGATCTCTGTGAGTTCAATGCCAGCCTGGTCTACACACTGAGTTCCAGGACAGCTGGGGCTACAGGGAGACCCTGTCTCAAAAAGACCAAAAAAAAAACAAAAAAAAAAAACAAAAAAAACAACAACAAAAACCCAAAAGCTATTGTTTATTTTAAAAACTTACTGAATTTAATTCAAATGTTGCCAGTACCTTCCAAAGTAAAGGTAATATTCAGAGGCAGTTGTTCTAATCATTTGTTTTGATGGCTTAAAAGAATTTTATGGAATATTCATAGATTCCTTTCTAATAAATGTCTTTGAATTATCAAATCAAAACTGACATTATTCTTGGTATAGTTTTAAAAAAGTTTTTATTTATTTATTTATTTATTTATTTATTTATTTATTTATTTATTTATGTGCATATGTGAATGTGCCTGTGGGCTCCTACACAGACTAGAAGAAGGCCTATTATTCCCTAGAGCTGGAGTTACAGGTAGTTGTGACCTGCCTGATTTGGGTGCTGGGAACTGAACCCATCCTCAGCAAGAGAAATAAGTGCTTAGTGCTCTTAACCACTGAGCCTCCTCTCTAGCCCCCCCATACTTTTTTATTATATAGTTTAAAAAAATTATTTAATAACCACATGATTAGAAGAAGCATTTCATTATAACAGCATTGACATATTCAGTAACAATTTCTAGAGCAAAGATGCATCTCTTTCAAAATTGGCTGTAATTTTTAGGTTCACAGTTGAATTACTAGAGTTATACAATATTGTACGGAGCATAAACCCTATAAGACATAAAATTGAATGAGGGTTTAACATTTAAAAAAATTTCCATTTCATTTATACTGTTTCATACAGAAACTCATGAAACTCATTTTTAATGCAACTAACGCTTAGATGTTTGCACATGTGTCTCTAATCTCTGAATCTGATTACAGTCGGTTACTTTCTGAGCTCCTTGGCATCTGAGCATGGATATAAAGTCATCAGGTAGATTTCAATGATAATGTTTTTCACATCTACTAATTAACATAAAGCAAATTTTTATGGTTCTTCCTCAAATATAACTCATTTTTTTATTTATTGATTTTTTTTGTGTGTGTGTATTTTATACAGAACATCTGAAACAATCTTATTCCACATTCCAAATGGCACCCTCCCATACACCCCCCCACTGAAGCCCATGTACTCTGTCATCCCTGTTACTGTCCACTGTGTTGTTGGTGCCCCCAGCCTTTCCCCATCTGCTGAGTCTAGTCAGCCTATCTAGAGCCTTCTTTGTTTTAGGAAGGTCAGCACATGGTAATTAAAAGTATCAGACTGATGGAACTAACCTTCTTGGATGTTTAACAGCCATACTTTGAGACCTATACTAATTTGGTCAGAGGGACATAAAGGACAGTTTTTGTTCCTTGCCCTCCTAGGTCGACTAAGTTCCAGGGGACTATGAGCATCTGTCAAAATGTCCTGTAACTGTGGTGAGTCACTCACCTGTCCTCTTGATCAAGGAGGCCA